TCTTGATAATCTTTCTCCTTATGAAAGAAAGAGCAGGGCCTCAGAACTTTTAGCAGCCAACAATAGTCAGCTAAGATTAGATAATGTGGCTTTACTTTCATTGTACTATTTTTGTGGTTAACATTCTATTTATGGCAAGTAATACTTGTTTTTCATAGATGGCAATGAGATAAAAATTGCTTTTCAGTGAAGTTGAGCAAGAGGAGAGCCAATGTAAAGAAACAAGTACACGATAGTGTAGATGATACACGGATATGGAATGATCGGTGACAGTGGGACACCAATGACTGAGATTTGGGATACCCTAGGAAAGAAGAAAATAAGATTAAACACAAAAGGCTGATAAGAAGGGTATTGCAATAGTAGAGGTGAGAGATTTTAAATTCCTTGAGATCAGAGAGCCTTATCTTATATTTATTTTGTTTTGTCCTCAGGAATAAGCCTTTAAGGCAGCCAGAATGACTGTCTAGTTAGTTCCCTTGTCAACAATGCAAAACATTGTCACATATGGTAAGCTGGATCCTGATGTTAATTCATTCTTTCAAACTTCCAATACAAAGTTCTCAAAACTTCCAATACACCACCTCAAATCCCATTTGGGAAGGTGGGCAGTATAAATGAATTATGTTTTTAAAAACACTTTAAAAGCTCCTACTCATCCTTTACGTTCCTTTAGCTTAAATGTCACCTCCTCTGAGAAACGTTCCCTGATTTCTCTGTGTACACCCAGTTGCTCCTTGTCCTGAGCTTTCAGTGAAACTTCTTACACATTTAGGCCAAACTTTGCAGAACATTTACTTTGTGTGCCTCTTCATTAGGCTCTAACCTTCCCAGTGACCCTGTCTTTCTTTTTACCCATAGCTCCGAGGACTGTTCTGTCACCAAAATAAGCAGGAGCTCAATGAACATTTGTACAACAAATGAATCTTGCTGTGGGGACATCACATTAAGGAAGAACATTTAGAACGTCATTACATTCTATTGATTTCAAATTCAATGAAAGTTCAAAGAAGAGAAAAATCAACATGAACTGGAATGTGTATTGAAGGAGTTATGGATATTACAAGGCTTGGGTTAGAAACAGGAAATCTAAATAAAGATTCTTTAGCATCGCTTCAGCTTCCTAATAACAAGATTTCTCACTCAATAGTCTGTGTGGGGGGTGGGTGGGTGGGGGACACCGGAGGGAGGGAAGTAAGGAGCTGGGTCCTTGGGAAGGATTTCTCTTGCGTCTTCTCCTTGTCTGCCTTCTTGAGAACTACCTTTTGGAATATGGCTGACATTGTCTACTATCCCTCTTCCCATAATTCCACAGAATGCTTGTCCATAAATATTTGTGGAATGGAAGCACCCTACCATAAAGATAAAACTAAATTATATATTATTGACTGAAGTTCATTAAGAGTTCACAGAAGGAAGAAGGGTAGGAACAGTGAGATCTTATTGAAGGATTTCTAGCAGATACAGGCTGGAGTCAGGCTACAGAACCATAAAGACATTGACTCTCCCACTCTGATACCCTCTATTATTTTTCTATATTGCCAGTTAAGATGACTTCAGTCCTTTAAACCAGCAAAAGCTACACTGACAATAGAGTAGTCACCAGCCACGTGTGGCTATTTATATTTAAAAGCAATTAAAATTCAGTTCTTCAGTGGTACCAACCACATTTCACATGTCCAATAGCCACATGGGCATGGTGGCTTCCATATTGAATAGCTCAGATAAAGAACATTTCCATTAACATAGAATGTTTGATGGGATAGTGCAGATCTAAGGAGTAAATTACCTCTGGGTTGCTGAAGGTGGGAGCTTGAGGGCAAGACAAGCCAACTTATAACTGTATTTTACAGGCTTTTCTGTTCCTCTACACTGTTACACCGTTAGCTACTAACACTCTAAGATTTAACTAACATTTCCTCCATTGATGGTTTCCAAACTCTCTGAATGCCTGCTGTGTATATGTTTTGTTTTGCTTTTTACAACTCAGTGGTTTTTAGTATATTCACAAAGTTGTGCACTCATAACCACTATTTAAATCCAGAACATTTTCATCAACCCAAAAGGAAACCCCATATGCACTTAGCAGTCGTTCTCCATTTCTCCTTCCCCTGACCTCTTGGCAACCACAGATCTGATTTCAGTCTCTACAGATTTGCTTACTCTGGATATTTCATCTAAATGGAAACATTCAGTATGTGGTCTTTTGTGTTTGGCTTCTCTCACTGAGCATAATGTTTCCCAGGTTCATCCATTTTGTAACATGTATCAGTCTTCATTCCTTTTTATGGCTGAATAATATTCCATTGTATGGATGTACCACATTTTGTTTACCTATTCATCAGTTAGTGGATATTTGTGTTGTTTCAATTTCATAGCTGTTATAAATAATATTGCTAAGAATATTCATGTACAAGTTTCTATCGGGGCATATGTTTTAAATTCCCTTGAGTATGTACCAAGGAGTAGAATTACTGGGTCTTATGGTAACTCTGTGTTTAACTCTTTGAGGAAACACCAAGGCTGGTTTTCTAAATCAGCTGCATCATTTCATCTTGTGTATATTTCAGACCTCATTCTTCTCTTTAGCTGACAGTGCCTAACATACAGAAACTACCTAGTCACTATTAGACTGGGCAGATGATCACTTTGGCTCACATCAAACATCCAGCCAGCCTGGAACTACAGGATGCCTTGTTGAACAGCACTGGGGTATGGTCCCAGTCTCCTTAATGCCTCTCTATTACCTGTAAATAATTTCATTCAGTCAGTTCAAGTTTATTGAATACTTAGTACTGAGTTCCTTGTACTAGGCCAGGCATTAGTGATAATTAGTTGGAGGGATGGTCATGTAAATGGATCACTAGAATATTGTTGCTTCATACTGAAATGAGAATATAACAGGGACAAGGGGATCACTACCAAGGACAGGACATTTTCATTGAGTCTTGAGTGCTAAATAGAAGAAATGCGATGCAGGAGGCACTGCCAAGCAAAGCATTTTGCGGGATGAGATAGGGGACAGAGAGATTCATAAGCAGTTCCTGCCCACAAGAAGGTTCCAGGGTGGACATAGTGGAATCCAGATTCTTCTTTCACTTCTCATCCTTCAGAAGGTCGAGTTTAGTGCAATGCAACCAGGGCTATCGATTTAAGAAATTATCTTGGGTCAACCTAGTTCTCTACTCTTCTTTGGAGTGATAGTGTGACCAATCCAAATGGAACTTATGCTATGGCAAAAGCCACAGCTATGGAAAGTGAGCAACTGGGATGATAGGCTGATGTCTCCATGTGCGTCTGAAGCTTGGACAGGGATACTGGCATAAGAACCTTCCTCACACAGTCTGTTTTGCTCTGGTGTTCTTATCAGGTGAGGCTCCACCCAGCCCAGTCCATCTTTTCAATATAGAGTCAACGGATCACTCGTCCATTCATATAAACTTGGAAAACGGAGCTAATTCCTTGTAGGGCCCTGGGCTTCTCAAAGTAGATGACGTTAAGCTCAACTAGGGTACAAATCAAGCTGTTCAGAGTAGGTCAAGCTGGTTTTCACTCCAGCCTTTCTCTACCAACCCAAATTTCTCCCTCTAGAGTTCTATCAACATAGGAGAATAGATCTAGAGGAAATACTTGTAGGAAAATGGTTATATATTTGCTTTCAATTTTTAAAAAATTTTCATTTATTTATTTGACAGAGATCACAAGTAGGCAGAGAGGCGGGCAGAGAGAGAGAGAAGGAAGCAGGCTCCCCGCTGAGCTGAGACCTTGGGATCTGACCTGAGCTGAAGGCAGAGGCTTTAGCCCAGTGAGCCACCCAGGGGCCCCGAGGTATTGGTGCAACTAAAGTCAAAGGTGTTAAAATAGAAACGGTGCTACTTTTTTCTACTCACTGTTACCTGGTTGCTTAAAGGGGGCTCCTTTTATGAGTGGTAAAACAAAGTTTTGGCACCATCCTGAATTTATAGTGGTTGTTCTTATTCTTTAGAAAGGCCCAGCTCAGGTGAGACAACATGTTGGGAGGGCTAAAGATCTGTGGGAGAAGATATGGAAGACAGGAACCATTTTAAGTCCCTAGGCTCTCTCTCCCTTCTAACTTGTGCCTCTTAACTGCAACGTGGAATGACTGTTGTGTGTCTTCCAGATGAAAATCTCTCACACTGCCAACTGATGTCACTTGGCCACACGTTTCACAGGACATGTGGACATCCTGAGGCCAGCTGTTTTCTGTACTTCTGTATTACTATATCCAAAGCACTTAGAAAAGTGCCTGGCAAACAATGTGTGCCATAGAGAAGTCAGGGTTATTATTATTATTGTTACTATTACCATTATTATTCAGCCTTAGCTCCCTATCTAGATATTAAGGTCCTTGTAAGTGAAGATCTATCTCACCATCTTACTCGTTCTTACTAATTTGTAAACGTGTCGGACCTCACACACGTCGCTTCCCTTTTGCGAACTCTGGTTGGACCACATAGAGATAGATTGTGCGTCAAGTCCAAGCCAAGTCCAAAAACACAATTTGGCAACCACTGTTTACAAGCCACCGTCCTGCTTATAAAAACAGGAAATCAAAACCCTGTAGGTTTTTGCAGGAGTGAGGCCACAGAAGCAAGGCTCCCCCAGTCCAGCCTTGGTACGAGGAGTGGGAGAGACTCCAAGGCGATCCCCACTCCCCGCCACCCCATGCTTCTCGTCCTACTTTCCACTTCATCCCTTTTCTCCACAACCGGCCTCCCCGGGCGCAGAGGAGCAAGATCCCGGTTTCGTGTCTGGTTCTCCGCCCGGAGGTGCAGCGGGGACGAGAGGCAGCGGCGCCGACAGGCAGCGGCGCCGGGGACACCGGGAGCAGGTCCAGGCGGCGCCCCGCCCATCCCACCGCCCCGGCTCCCGGCCACCCAATCAGCGCGCGTCTCGGGCGCGCGCTATGGCCAATCAGGAGCGGCGGGAGCGGCGCCAGGAGCCCGCGGGCGCGGAGCGAGCCTGGAGAGTCAGGAGCAGGCGGCGGCGCTGCGGCCGCGAGGGAGGGCAGCGAGAGCTGCAGGGCCGGACGAGGATCCCCGCGCCCGCGCAGCCGGCTCTACCGCGGCGGCGTTCCGGCCGACGCTCGGGACCCTGCAGGCGGCGTCGCAGGTAACAGCGCGTCCCGCGGTGGAGGGCGAGGGTGCCCCGCTGGTGGGGCTCCGCAGGTGGAGCGGGCGAGGGGTAGGAGTGGGGGTGGGGGTGGGGGTGGGGGTGGGGGCGGGCCGCCCGCGAGGTCCTAGCGCCGCGAGTGCCGCCCCTCGCCCAGCGGGTCCCTGAACCTCCGCGCGTGCCTCAGTCGGAGCCCCGGGGAGGCGCGACATTTCCACCAGCCGCAGGCGTCCGGGGGTGGGAGGGGGTGAGGTGAGCCCGCCTAAGGGGGGCGAGGTGGAGGGGGTTCGGGAAGACACCTGCGACTCCCTCACCCCTACGCGGACACTATTTGCCTACGGGTGTCTTCCCTGAGATGTGAGTCCCCGCGACATCTTTGTTGGCCCGTATAGGGAGGCGACAACAGGTGTCCCTGGGGACAGTGCTTCCCCCGCCACCCCGCTCCGCCCCGAGTGAAACTGGGTCTTGGCGTTCCGCTCCACCTTCGGGGTGTCCGGAGACAGGACCCTTGCCTGGCCTCTCAGGCGCGCTGCCCGCTGGACAGCGCCCAGAGGCTGCCTGGACCCGGCAGACCCTGGCTTTGGATGGAGTTTCCTCCGCGCGTTGCCAAGCAATTTGCTGGACACCCGCCTCTTACTGGGTGAAGAAGAGTTGAAGATGAGAGAGATAGAGACAGAGAGAGAATGAGAATGTGTAAGTGCATGTGTTGCCCCTACTGGAAGGCGCTCCCTGAGGGCTGTGGGTAAATCATTAACTGTCTTGTGCAGCTACTTGGCTTCTGAAAGGGAGAGACAGCCTTTCTCTCAGGCAGGTCATTCGTGCCCTCTGTGCCTCACTGCCCTCATCTGTAAGGTGGCCATAAATAATTGCACCTGCTCCATAGCGTCCTTTCGAGGATTAAATAAACCAATGCCTGCAAAACACCAAGCACAAGGCTATACGGAGTGGATGTTCTTTTAAAGAGTAAATCAGATGTGTCCTACCTGGCCCAGTGACCATTTGGAGCTCTGAACAGCTTTCTAAACTCAAAGGGGAAAAATGCTGTTATTAATGTTTCTGATCGTATCGTTTAAAGGTAATACATCCTTTGAGGAATTAAAAAAAAAAAACTTCATTGGAATGGCGAAAGAGATAAATGGATTCCGATTAGTAACTGAGAAAAGCTTTGTAAACCTTGAAGAAATTGTTATGAATGTCGTGTGAGAAGAATATCTTGTTTTTTTGTTGAATGCTCATCTTTGACTGGTATGGCTTAAGGGGGAGGACTTGAAGGTTCTTATACTTTCCAGTCCTCCCTTGGACAAGTTTAAAGAGAGGGAAAGGAAGAGAAAAACAAATAAAAAGCCCAACCACACAACAAAATGCCAGCAGCTCATAGAAACCTAAAATTGCCGTTCCTACTTTAGGCGGTTATTGCTATGTCTGACCTGGGTGGTCTGGTTTAGTTCTTTGCCACTGTGTCGCTTTTCTGTCCTTGTTTTCTTTCCCTTGTTCATTTACCAAAAATATCAATATGTAGCTGATTTACTTGGAATTCTGAACCTTCTGCTCCTTAACATCCTACCCTGTGACAGACCCAAAAGGTCCTGAGGGCATCGTCAGTGAGAATCTGCCTGTCTTAGCACGCCACACTACCTGGGAAAGGTACAGGCAGAAGGCTTCAGTTCTCCAGGTGCCCCAGTGCTCTTGCCAGGAGCCTTTAAATAAATCCATCCACTTAGAGAAAGTGATTATCTTCTCAGGGGGTAAGAAGCCCAGTTCCAGATGCAAGTCTTTCAAGTGTCGAATTAATTCCACAACCTTTTAACTTGTTGATAAGGAGACTTTTACTCTCTCCACCAGAATGGGAATGGGAGGATCTGAACACTTGGTGATGGAGGAGGGAGGGAGATGTGTGGGGCATGGGAAAGATTGCTGAGCTCAGAGCCAGACCCACACTTGGTGAAAACTGTTTCTGTGGCTGATGGCTGGGAAACCTGGACAAGTTGCCTTGCTTTTCTGAGCCAAAGTCTCCCACTCTGTAAAATGAGGGTTTAATTTTCTTTCTTTCTTCTTCTTCTTTTTTTTTTTTTTTTTTTAAGAGGAGTTGTTGTTCTAGGGATAGTACTAATGAATAGGAAGTTCCCAGCAAAGTTCCAAGGACACAGTTACAGGTCTGTAGCATCCAAATGGGATCCTACAGGAGTCGATCCGTTATACCTAGGAACGAGAAAAGACTTGATCGAGGAAATAACACCTGAATTGAGTGTAGAGGGATGAGCAAGTCTCCTATGCAGATAGGATTGAGGTGGGATTGGAAGGAAAGGTAGAGCAGAGGAGAAAGACATTCCAGACAGAGGGGTCTGGGGGATCAAATGTGCCATAATGGTCAGCTTAGGCAAAATAACAAATAACCCCCAAATTTCAATGGCTTACAAGGTTTATTTCTCATGTATCCTGAGTGTCCAGTGCAGGTCAGTTATGGTTCTGCTCCTTACCTGTTTTCATTCTGAGACCCTCCAGAGGCTTAAGAAACAGCCTCTTTCGGGGATAATACTGATCTCATGTAGGGGAATGGGAAAAAAGAGAATATGATGAAACAAAAATATGGCACTTAGTATCTGCTCAGAAGTCCCTTCAACTCTTATGCTCTTGGCTAAGGTAAATCACAGCCAAACCCCATGTCAGTGGGATGGGGAAGTATGAGCCTCCTGCAGACAGTGAGGTATGGCTAAGTAGGAGGGAAAGTGCAGAAGGAAACAGGGCCAGGGAGGTGGCTCAGATCCAGCGATGAAGGGCCCCCGGTTGTGTGCAGGTGTTTGGAACTTTATCTAATGGGCAAGGAGCAGCCACTGATGGGTTTTTAAGTTGGGGTTTGACCTGGTCAGATTTTTCAGGCAAAGCACATGTCTCTAGTGGCAATGTGGGGAGAAGACCAAACTAGGTGAGATTGAAAGTGAGAAATGATGAGGGCCCAAATGAATTCAGCAGCCTCAAATCTCCCTCGCTATCTGTCACATGACTTGAGGTTCCATTGCTGGAAAATTGTTCCCTTTTTTTTGAAGTCCTCTCCTAAGATGCACATGCTCTCTCATCTTCATGTCACCTAAAGCAGCGGTTCTCAAACTTCAGTGTGCCTCAGAATTACCTGGAGCCCTTGAGAAAACACAAATTTGTGGGTCCCACTCCTAGAGTCTCGAAGTCAATAGGTCTGGGGCGGCACCTGGGAATGAACATTTCTGACAAGAGCTCCAGTGTTGCTGATGCTGCCAGTCCAAAGTCTACACTTCGAAAACCATGGAGCTAAAAGGTGAAATTAAGGTGTGGTTGAGGGAAAGGCCTGAATAGAAGGGCCTAATGGAAGGAGGAAAAGTCTGGAAGGTCCCGGCATTCTCCATCTGGTGGATTTGCTGAAGGCTGGCAGTGGCAGTGGGGTCTCTGAGAGTGACTGATTGTCTAGGTTTATATTACACTGCAGATGTAATTCTCACCCTGAGGAAACAAAAGAAGTTTGGATTCACAGAAGAAGCACATAAGTGCTACTTTATCCCTCCCTTTGTAATTCTGCCCTGATTATCGCCCCCCACCCCCATCAGTGAGCACACACCCTTTTGTCTGGCTCGAGACCTCTCACTCAAGTCTGTCAGCATGCATCAGTTCTGATCCATCACAGCTTTAATTCTGGAACTGGGGTTTGCCCATTGGGTGGACATTTGGCCGAATTTTTAAATAGTCAGACCAAGACATTTCTTACTTCACTTGAGGTCATCTTCATGAATAAACATCTGTACCATATGATCATGCAAAGTGTGATCAACTCTCCCAAGATAAATAACCCCCTGAGAACTCAAGATGTCCACAGTTTAGCTTATACTGATGGGCAGGGCAGGTCGCACCAATTCCTTGAATGGTGACTCACCGCTCCTGTAATGAGAGAGCGTTCCAAGAGTGGACGTGAAGGAGAAAATATGTTGGCATGTACAACATGACACAAGAAATAAAACACAGCGGGGGTTTGTTTTCTTTTTACTCAATTTTCCTCAATTCTGGATGTTGGAAAAAGCGTTAACTCTGCCAGGGTCCTGATAATCAGCGATATGCCTGCTCACACCATGTGGATACATGAAATACTTTCAGAGTCAGCATTCTGGGTGCTGGCCAACAGGTTACAGTATTTGTTTCAAGGTGGTATGAGAGTGTAACAGTCCATTGGGGCGTGGATAGCCTGTACTAGAAATTATATGCATGTGAACTTCATATAAAATAAGAGATGTCATGGTGGGTCCAGACTATAAAATGAAGTGTGAATAATATGTGAAGAGATCCTTTTCCTAACAGATTTGACAAACCACACCTACAAGGTGTGCTTTCTGTAACCGCAGAACTCCTGTGGATTCTGCATATCTCCAGAGGTGGATGAGAAAGTTTGGAGCCATAACCTCTAGTCAGGAGGCCTGAAGACATCTCTGCTGGTCTGTTTCCCTCTCCAGGTAATTTTGGAAAGCCAGCTGTTTCACTTCCTCCTGTAGTCTTGGCCTTCCCTTGGTCAGCTCTACAATGAAACCCTGTAGCTCCCTCAATCTCAGGTCTCCAGGAAGCTTGGTCTAAAGTTGCAAAAGATTAGCAGACAAAACTCTAGACCTGAGTAAGAGTCAGTGAGGGAAGGGACACTTAAACTAGCCAGGAGGGATCTAAAAATGCTGAACATGTTCATTAGAAAGTGATACTTTTCCCCACTGGATAGCATTTATCTGGCAATGTGGTATTTAAGAAAAATACACATTAAACACTACACAAATAGTATCCTCTCTATGTGTTTATGTTGAATAAATGTTAAAAGTGTCATATATATTTTTTAACATCTCTATCAGTTTCAAGAGGTAGGTTTCTTGTGCTATAGCTGGTTTTCTGAAATGCAATTAATGAGAAACAGTTGGCCAAAAATCCACAGACAGATAATAGAAGGACAGGATTGAAAACCCAGTCCCTTGAATTTTTTGTTCATTGTGCACACCTCCACC